GAGAAGGGGGTGCATATAGCTAAACAATTAATGAACAAATGTCATGACACTGACACTCATTACCTGGATGCGTTGCGAGAGTATAACAACACTCCTCTGACTGGGATGTCGTTTTCTCCAGCGCAGATCCTCATGAGTCGGATGGTTCGCACTTGTGTGCCCACCAGGCCGCAGGCTCTTGTACCAAAGATTGTTGATCTTGGGAATGTCCCACAGGTCCTGCAAAATAGAGTGAAAGCTCAGCATGACAGACGAGCCAGGCGTAGGCCTGTGGAGTATGCTGTCGGACAGCCAATAGTTTATTGGAGAACTAGGAAATGGTACAAAGGGACAGTTGTGGAGAAGCTTCAAGCTCCAAGGTCCTACATGATTAAAACGTTGAGTGGGCGTGTGTTGAGGAGAAATACCTGGCATTTGCAGCCGTCATCCACACGCCCTGATAGATTTGATATTCCTCCTGTTGATCCATACCCGACTAATGTGTCTCGTTCTGTGCCCTTACAGATTCTGGGGCATCGACCAGCGGCCAGGCCAGTGGTCTTCGACCAGGGCCAGGACCAGCCGGACCTGGAGGTGCCGGAGGATATTAGGGAAGCTGCAATGCTTCCCCGTCAGGACGTCGCTCGGCGTCCCCCACGGCGTCGAGGACTTCCTCATCCTGATGCTGGGTGGCGTCGTCCACCAGCTCATTTCGGTGGTGGTGGTCCAGTAAGGACACACACTCGACGAGGAAGGCCGGTTAGGCTTCCTGCGAGATATAGAGATTAAAAACTCATAATTTCATAATACTTTGGTGTTGACCAAGTGTACCGGTGGATCCGGCTACTTTACGTACAGTACGTACTTATTTCTTTGGATAAATAAAGTTGAGTTGAGGCGTTGCCGCAATCAGTATTCCTGTTTATTTTCCTAACCTTAACATTCACAATAAACACTGAAGTTAAGGGACTGGAGGGGGAGGTGTTCTAGGTTGGCAAGGCTGTGCCTGCAACCTGCGAATACTGCCACTGTTATGTGCAGTCAACCCCCACCTCTACTCTCCACACTGTTATAAATATGACTGTCGAATAAACAAACGTCC